ACTACTACTACTACTACTACTACTACTACTACTACTACTACTACTACTACTACTACTCACTACTACAACAACAACTACTACTACTATTAACTACTACTACTGCTACTACTACTTTTACTACTGCTACTACTACTACTACCGGCACTCTGACGCTGCTGTTGCTGCTGTTGCTGTTCAACCGACTACACGCTACCACTACTCGTATTGCTATTGCTTCTCCCACTTTTGCTGCTACTACTACTGCTAGTAGTCCCTACTCCTGTTCTTGCTCCTATTGCAAGTACTTCAAGCATGACTACAAATCACTAAGTTCTACGATTTCCCTGTTTACTGTGACTGCTACTTGAGCTGACACTTCGATGAATGGTGGACATGCCAAGCGAAACCCTCACCAAAGGCAGGCATGCTTAGAATTTCCCCAATTGATGAACCAAGCTCAGCCACTAAAGAGGTCTCCCGCGGGTGTGGAATTTGTTTGAAGTTTTGTTACCTGTCACACGTGTCTTTTCAGGTACTGCAACACAGTGATATTCCTGTGTATAATGGAGGTTTGTACGAGGCATTTGTTTGACAGGTTCGCCTTTACTCTCCAGCACAAGCTGAACACTTTGTTTTTTCAGACAGATCCGAATGTTTCTCCGCTCTGCACTCTGGAATGAAGACATTGTGTGTTTCATTTTGAACGGCATTGAATTGTTGCTGGAGTTCAGGTTTGGTTCGTGAGAGTATGAAGGCCGCGGCCCCACGTTGGAAATGCACTTAAAGGTGAGACCACCCTTTCTGTGCACAAAGTTGCTTGCATTTTTCTTCCCATTCCCCCCGCAGATGTTTGGGCATGTTTGGGCATTGGTTCCAGGATTTCCCACATGTTGATCATTTGTCGTGAATTCCATGTCCCTGCTACGGTCATTGAAATTGCACCGGAGGAGAAGGTGGATGATATGCTGCGCCAACTCTTTTCATTTGTTACGCAGCTTCGGCAGCAAGTGAGGGTGCCATTTGTGTCACCAGTTCACTCGGGATTCATCCGGGTGTTTTGCATTGTATTGCCATGTCAAATAGCACATACTTTCAAGGGTCATGTATGTGAAAATCTATTAGGGTGACCAAAAACACAGTTTTTGGCAGCTTCAACCTTTGCAAAACACTGGATACATCAATTGAACAAGAAGAGGAACGGTGCATGTCCACTGACGGAGTCGTGGGGAAAGATGTCGTCCTGGAAGGTTTGCCTGCATGGGTTTGGGTAGGAAATGTGCTAATCGAAAAATCAGGACGTTGGCAAGCAGTTCTTCACATGCTTTGGAGCCCATATCACAAAGCACCAGTTCTGGCTTGTCATGCAATGTTGTATATACGTTCCTGGTCCTTTTTACGGACTGAAGACGTTCGCACTGTTCGCACAATCTGCAGCTACCCCGTTCGCTCCCAGGCGGCTCAAAACAGCGGGCAGCCAATTCCGCATGGATGATGACTTCTACAAATCCTTTGCCTACCGCGAGGAATCTGCGATTGTAGGTTGGAGGCCATCGCTAGTAGGTTGGAGGCCATCGCTATGGTTGGAGTGCAGAGCAGCCTTTAAATTTTGTATCACTCAGAGAGCTAGACCGCAGTCGCACAGACAGAAGCAGCATGTATCGGCTGTTGGGAGATCCTTGGAGCGTCACATGCTAGGAGTTTTCTCGACTAATGCAGATATACATGATTTATACCTACTAATCCTATACTATGTGTTTGTGCAATCCCAACTGCAGGCTGCAAAGACGCAACTGGGTTTGAACAGAATACATCCCCCTCCTTTATAATAAAATCATTGACGCTCTGCGCAACTTTTTATAGACCACAAGTGCAAGCAAGACTCTCTATAGAATGGCGCAAAAACCTTTGGAAGGCGTTCAAAAAAGACCCTTTTTTAGCTTGAAGGTTTGACCCTCATTTTATAGAGGATATATCGTATGAAGCTTCCTCATCCAAATTATGCGGACTAATTTCTGATAGTTAGACGTTTAGTTTGTAGAGACGATGCACTCTATCATGGCTCAATCCAGATTCAAAAGAAGCAATTGTCTCAATTGTCTATGTACTTGTAGATTCTGGTGTTGCCAAGTTATATTTGCCAAATTGTCGGGACACCCATTGTACAGAAGGAGTGGGTGGCAAGGAGGGGTCAGGACACCCATTTTATAGAGGGTTTGGGTGGCAAGGCCAGCCTTCCCTATAGAATCTGGATTGAGCTACTGTATGATAGAGTGCATCTCTATAAACTCAATGTCCAACTATCATTTGTTCATTTGTCTTCTCGTGTCATGTCGCATCGTCGTCGTTATTGTTTGCGTTCTTATTATTTCTTTCTTTCTTTCTTTATTTCTTTCTTTATTTCGTTCTTTCTTTCTTTCTTTTTTCTAGCTTCTTCTTTTGGTGTCGCGTCGTCCTCGTCGTCGTCGTTTTCGTTTCCACGAGCAGCCACGATAAAATCACAAACTAACCTTCTGACATGTTTTTTGTTTATCTCACGTTGCTGATTCAAAAATTGCACTCGGGAACCCTCCCTGATTTTATAGTGGCCCGATTTTTGCACGTTGTGGTGCTGGAGGGGGCCAAATGCAGTGGGATCACCTATAGCTCGATTTTTTGGTTTTATAGAGAGAGACTTTCTATGATGTTCTCGTTTTCCTGACTTTATAACGTTGCACTTTTCCCAACGAGCTCAAAATGAGGTTGTATATTTATCATTATATATCTATAGAATTGGCGGGGCACGAGCTGCACCCCTAATTCACACTGGGATAAGAAAGCTATTTTGCATTGAATAGACATGTGAAACACAGAACGTTTGTATCATACTTTCTCCGACATCATCATGGTGGGAGGGAACCTTGTGAACACGGAGCCTTGTTTGATCTTGTTTGTGTTGTTTGTTAGAAACAATTCCTCTAGTCAAGACATCCAATACTATTGACCTCTCACGGCGGCTAAACTCCGAAATTCATGAATCTCAGGCAACCTCTATATATATATAAACCTCCATGTGTTTTGATAGCACAACTCACCCCAAAGCCCACCGGAAAACGGCGCACACCACACAAAATCCACGTTCTTCCTGCACCGGTCTTTCTCGCCTGCCGCCGACCTGCGCAGGATGGCTCTCTGATCGGCCACCTTTGGGCGAATCTCCCCAGCGCCCTCACCGAGATCGCAGCGACGCTGCAGACCCGCGAGAATCGAAGGCGGAGCTTACCGAGCGAGCGGCGCGTGCGGGCGAAAATCGGTGATGCGAACGACCGGATTTCGGAGAATCCCACCATCCCGACGGTGATGGACGGAGGAGCATTCTGGAATGGTTCGCCCCTTCACCAATAATACATGGATTTATATGGATTTGAAGAATGCTCAGTTGATATTTTGCTGTTGCTTTCCTGATTCAGGGGTCCACGTGATGGATCCTGAACACTTGATAACATTTGACACGTTTTTCTAGCCTTTACGTATTACGGATAGATACACAAGAGAGTTATGGACTCATACTTTTGGGAAGTTGTTTAACCACTGGGACACGCACTACTGTATGGCGCAAAACATGCTCCATTCACCACCGGCGCCACCGCTACTGTATTGCCGGAACCGGAGCCCTGACAACAACAACAAAAAATAACAGAAGTTTGATCACACATTATGTACAGCCAGGTATGAGGCAACCCATGAGTTCAGAAGCATAATTTATCTATATAATGTTATTTGGCGGTGTTGGGTTGTGGTCAACACGAACATGTATATAAGTCTTACAATGAAGACCAACGCTTGATTTTGGGCTTCCCAACTGACTGCAGTACAAAAGGTCAGAAAAGTTCCAAGGAGATATTGTGCCTGAGGTTCGAGAGAGAGAGAGAGAGGGAGCTGCCAGGACGCAGTGGATTACGGAGTCCATTGCCTTCCGCGCAAAGTTGAAGTCTGCACGACGCATGCGCTTGAGGGAGGCTGGCTGTGGAGCGTAATGGTTTCCGGTTCAGTATCTCACAGCAGCAAACACAGACATGCATAGAGTTTCTGCAGGGTCTTATTGCCCCCATGTCACACCCTCCAACTTCGGAACCAGTACAACCGAGAGATGCCCGGGCCCTTTGCCCTCTCCGCCCTGGCTTCGCCCTGGCTGCCCGGGCCCGTCAGATGGAACTGGCGCAGAAGACCATTGCCACCAAGGTGGAAGGCACGGGACACCTGGGCAGAGCGCCACCCAGGGCCACGTGGAAAGGGCACAACCATGCACAACCCATTTGTGGAAGTTTCCCTCAAAATCTAGGAACAAGAAGCTACTAGGGGCTCCTGGCATCGCTACTAGGAGCAAGGACGCTCCTGGCCTTACTACTAGGAACAAGTACGCTACTAGGAACCAAATGAATAGTGCGAACGTCTCTTCAAGGAAGCTGTCCCCCGTGCCGCCTTTGGGGCGCGGGGGAGCTTCCTTGAAGAAGCGTCTTCGCTATCCTCCAGCTAACCTACCTACCTGCCGTTTGCTTCTACTAGCTACCTACCTCTAGCTAACGTACCCTCACCTCTACTACGGCCTACCCCCTACAGAAAAATTACTTCACTTTGAGAGATCGCCACCACGACATTTCAATCCACTATAACATGAAAATAATACACATAATCAGGCCGCACTTGTTTTTTCTATAGCAAAATGTTGGTATTGTCAAACATCCCGGCTTCATCTCATTGGACCTGTCATCGGCTGGCAAACGAAAATAAACAGATCAGTTGGACACCTGAACCAGAGATCAAGTGCTTTCAGTTAGCAAAACATGCCGAATCATGTCGGCATGCCGCCTGTCACCACATGCTGTGAAGCAGGCATGAAAGGGCAATGCCAAAACATGTCTACCAATCTATGATCATCATGAAGTCGCAAACTTCTTCTCTCCACAAATCACTCTGTGGCATCCTGCCTTTGTACAGCAATCTCGCCCAAAGGTCGCCTGATTGCGCTCACACACTTGTCTTGTGTGTTCTGAAATGCTCACAAATAGCTGGCGCAGTTCATAATGGGAAACACATTGAGTGTATGATGTTGCACAGCTTGCTCACTGTCCAATGATGTGGAATGCCACACGTTGCTAGTTACAGTTGCCTACGTAGGCTCACACATGCACATACTCGCTGTGTGGTGTACATACTTGCTGTGTGATGTTGCCTGTGTCCCAAGCCTCTAAACCAACAAGACGGTCACAAGAACACGTAGTCTACAAAGAGCTGGTGCTTGAGGTCCGGCAGGGAACACTGCCATCCTGCACTTGCGGTTGAAGTCCTGCGGGGAACACTGCGATCCGGAGCTGGCGTTGATGGCGCGGCGGAGGAGGAGGACGCAAATGCGGAGGCGGACGCGGAGGAGGAGAAGGAGGTGGAAGGCAGCTGACAAAAAATCTAACAACCCTCACCTGACAGGTTGGCAAAAAATGTTGAGATGGAGTTGTGGGTGGTCAAAACTAGGAGCCGGGAATCGATATCATCATCCAGAGTTATGATGTACCTTACAGCCTAACTCTGAAATCTCAAGGATTCATAAAGAAGCAAAAAATGCAAAACCACACTCAGAAATGATGACTAGGAAACGCAAAAAGAAAGGCATGAAAAGGGCAAGAAAAGGGCAGCTGGTCAAAAAGAGTGCATATAAAGAAGCACAAAAATTGCAAAAGGAAACCAAAAAACAAACAAAACGCAAAACAACAGTTAAAAAACGTAAAACAAAAGCGAACAAAACGCACAAAAAATGCACATGCACAACCAAATTTCACACACCACCTTTTTTGTGCGATATTTTTCGATGTTTGTGCGTTTTATGTGCGTTTTTTTTTTGCAGTGTTTGCACTTTTTGTGCGTTTTTTGTTCGATTTGTTGCGATTTTTTGCGTTTTCTCAAGGAAACGCACAAAAAAAAACGCAAAAAAACGCAAATACAAAGCAAAATTAGCAAAGGCAAAGACCAGAACGTTTTTGTTCGCATTTGTTTTGCTGTTTGATTGCGTTTGTTTTGCATTGTTTGTGCATTTTTGTTGCATTTGTTGTGCCATTTTTTGTGCGTTTGTTTTGCATTATTTGTGCGTTTTTTTGCATCTTTTCAGTGGACATTTTTTTCATTTTTTGCGTTTTTTTTGCATTCCAAGGCATCCTTTGGTGACTTGTTTTTGCGTTTTCTGTGCATTTTTTTCGGGATTGGTTTTGCATTATGTTTGCATTTTTTATGTTTTGCTGTGTCATCAGAACTAGCTTTAGCGTACATCATAAATCCAGAGCCTCAGGCGCTGCCGACGAGTCGAACTACAAAATCGTGGCAGTTTTTTCACCTTGAAAAAGACACCGATGCACTTTTGTTTTATATTTTTGACCACCTAAGTTTCGAGAGAGAACAATCACAGGCTTACTTTGTCTAATTTAAATTGTTGAAAAAAGAAAGTTCAAGGTTTTGGACCAGTCTCCCGGTCTCCCCCGCATGTTTCCTGGATTCATGGATACACAACCAGTGTTTTTCGCAGATGTGTACCAGGCTGCCGTCCTCATACAGCCTTTGCACTCTCACCAGCTCTCACCTCTTGTCCTTTGAAAAAGTTATCCGAGCCAGAATCTACTACAAGTGCTCCTAGATTCCGAGATCCACCCAAAGACCTTGAAACAAAACCTGTTTGTCGGGAGTTCATTTTGTTGTGGAGATTGAGCAAGAAAGGAAAGCCGATGAATAACATCCAAGCCTAGTGCCCCCTATTATAAGTATCCTGTCATAGACGGCTTCAAAGGCACTCAAAGGTTTTTTGTTTGGTGAAGTGCGATTATCTTGTTTCTAGTCTAAACGATTTTTACGACCCGCAAGCTGCATTGTAAAGTGTTGGAACTATTTGCTAGAAAACCCAAATCGTTCTTTCGGTGGTCCCACAGACACAGTTCCGGATCCTCTGAGAACGGCCTGGGCACTTGCCTCGAGATTCAATGCGTTCTATGTTTTGCGATACACAGTAGCATCATGTGGCAACCGGTCCACTGGCAGTTGTATGGGACTTGAACCTGCCAGAGAAGTTTCCTCGCGTAAGCGAGCTGCCAGGCTGTGTTTGTCAAGAGCGCTGGTCTGGCTATGTGTGGAGCAATTACCTGCCTGGCCTGAAGTCTTTCCAAGGCGAAACCAGACTTGAGTAGTGACGCACGTAGTTTCGGCTTACGTCCACCTCCTGTTGAACTGAGCGATGCCATAAAAAGAGTCAGGGATAAGGTAAGCATACTCAGGTATGGATCCAAGTTGACTCCTTTCAAAGGCAACTTTAAACCACTCCAGCGAGGTCGTACTGATACTGAGAAGTTTTCAATTTTGTGTATATGTAATTATATGTAATTATATAATGTTGTATAATTGCATATATATGTACCTCCGGGCCCCACCTCCTCTATGTTTGTAGGCATTTTGCGTGAGAGTCTCCTGAAGGGTTCTCGCGAAGTGTCATTATCATGTTGGTTGTTCGTACAGTGTCGCATAAGGTTTTATATGTGATGCTACCAGCTTGACCAACTTGACTCCAGCTAGTAACAGTATGCCTTGTCTCGTGTTTTCAATTTTCAGGCGACAACTCAGCACCAAAGAATCAATTGTCTTAACCCTAGAACTGATAGTCGCTTCAGAATTGAATGCGCGTTTGTAACTTTGCAATGTAGACATTGCACTTTGTATCCTTTTCCAACCAATTGTTGTTGTTTCCTTTTCCAACCAATTGTTGTCCATTGCCGTACCATGCCAAGGGAGCATGATGAAATTGGCTACTAGTCTCCAGTATGTTTGAAATTCAAGTCCTGTCAGTTGCATGTCCGTGCGAGATCAGTTATATAACTTGTTCACTTTCTTGGTCTCAGAATTTGAAAGGACCATGTTGGTTTGAGGCACTTTGGAGCTTGATGAGTTAACAGGAACAGGTTATTAACCCATGGACCATGGAGTTAAGTTTATTTACTTAGTTCTCATTGTTTTGTGTGCAACCTTGCCTCCAGTATGAAATGAGCGTCATGGATGACTTTGCGAATGCTATAGTTCAAGGATGATCGCCTTTGCATGGAACCAGGCTGCGTGTCCAACACAAAAGCGATGAGCTTGAAGTTTGTCCACAACTCTCAAGGCGAGGATGGGATTGGAAGCTAAAGTTTTGTTTCTGATGTCCTTTCTTTCCTTTGTTGGGGCTGAATAGGTAAAATAAGCCACTAGTACCAAGGAAGCTACCTTGAACGTAGAATAATCCTGGGCATGGTCAGTTTGGTTCCTAGATTTTGGAAACTATTAACTTTTAGTAGCTAGATGATCGTTGTTCCTTTCTTTCCTCCTTTCCTCCCTTCCTTCCTGGCTGGCTTGCTTGCTGGCTTGCTTGCTGGCGCGTTGTTCACACCCGGAGCCAGATGCTCATTGTATCGCACTGTTAGTCACAGGGTATGATGCTGAGCAAGCCACCCTGAACGGTGTTTCGTTGCTATGCATCATTGCAAAAGACCAGCGGTGCGCGTGGGTTGGATCAGGGCTCACCTGAGACGAAGGGATGGTAGAGGAGACTTGGCACAGATCTCGTACTTTACTTAACAAACTGTGCACCTTATCAAATCTATGTTTGTTTATGTTATGTTCTTTTACTCATGTGAGTGAATCACCTCAGGTGGGACATTTTCTACCAGGGGAGTCTTGAACTGTGAAAGTTTGCGGTGCGTTTCCAACTTTGAAGTTCATTCCCTCTAATGTTTTTGCACCTCTTTCGTAGCAACCTCAGCAGCTGCTCAACCTCACCAGCCTGTTGTGCCCTCAGGCTGGAAAGGCTTCTGTAAGACCAAGAAGGTGGGAACGTTTCGCGAGGTGTTGACAGTTCCACTACGCACAAATGACACAAGTGATTTCCTCCACGACTCCATGATTCTACAGGTCTATTGTTCTACCTAGACAAGACGGAAGTTCAATCAGCACTTTTGGAACAGATTCGCTGGGACCCCGAAACGACCTCAGGGTTCATGGAAATTCTTCGGGGCAAAACCACACATTCCTGGTGTACATGCCATTTGCCATATGTCCCCTGAGATAATTGTGTTGCTTCTCCAAAATCCTCCAAGATTGTACCATCATTTGTTCTGTCTTGGATGTCCAAACTCGTCTTCTCGGCAGGACAAGAGCGCTGTGACGGGGACGTGCCTGGGCCGAATGACCTGCCCAAGCAAGTGATCTCACTGGGCATGTTGAAACAGTTGCCAAGAACAAGCTGGTGAAGCAACAAGCAGCACAGCCTAGCACTGCTTGAGATGTTTGGTTGACAAGTTTGCATGCAACAAGCTTGTGCGCATGTCCCCATGAAAAAGTGATGTAGAGTTGCTTGTCTTATGTTTGATGCCTTAATAAGAAGCCTTTTTGTGGCCAACTTCAGGGAACGGGAACGGAGGGTTCCGATAACTCACCGGACTTAGAACATGCTAGCAGAACAGAGAACACTATATAAATATATGTATATTAAATATATATAGGACATTATGACAGCATCATGTTGATTCAATTATTTTTGGATCGCGTCGAATCCATTTTCAACATATTTCAAGCTAACATTTGATATTCTGGGGCTGGAATGAAGAACTAGTCCAGCAGCCGGCTCCCCGGCGAACAACTGATTCAGAGCTCAGACTTTGGGAACGGGCTAGCTCTACATGGCCGACGTTTGGCAGTTGGCAGAGGCAGTCGAATTTCTACGATTTTCTGCATGTTGCACTACACATATGCTGTAGTAAGCCCTAGCAAACACTCTATTTTCACAGTCTAGTGAAGCCAAACAAATGTGATGTGTATTCAAGAAAAGTAGTTCTACATATATATATATAGGTATTATATAGATCATCCTTGGATTCATTTATAAGTGCATGATATTGGTTCTGAAGGATTAACATTACCCCCATGAGTCACAACACCCAATAGCCAATACACCATCAGAGATCATCTCTGGAGGGTAAAAGGACATGGAACCCCACGGTTCTGTGGCATTCAGGCTCTCACCGTGGCACTCCCCTCGGAACCGCCAGCACAGCATCGTACGTGGATGTTTCGCGTGTGTCGACTGAGGTCCTGCAAAGTGAAGTTTGCGGAGTGCGATCCAGACGCCGAAGCTACTAGTAACAAAGGGCATCAATACTAGGAGCAAGAAGCTACTAGTAGCGCCTGGCAAAACTACTAGGAACAAGAACCGACTAGCAACAAAGGGCATCGCTACTAGGAACAAGAAGCTATATACTAGTAACAAAGTGCATCGCTGCTAGGAGCAAGAAGCTACTAGTAGCTCCTGGCATTACTACTAGGAACAAGAACCGACTAGCAACAAAGGGCATCGCTACTAGGAGCAAGAAGCTACTAGTAGCTCCTGGCATTACTACTAGGAATATGGAGGTACTAGTAACAATATGCATCGCTACTAGCAGCAAGAAGCTACTATAATATAGTTGCTCCTGACATTACTCCTAGGAACAAGAAGCTACTAGTAATAATGGGCATCGCTACTAGGAGCATAGGAGCATGAAGCCAGTAGTGGTTCCTGGCCTTACTAATAGGAGCAAGAAGCTACTAGCAACAAAGGGCATGGCCATGTTTCAGCTGCGAAGCGACTTTGGAGTTGGAACCAATCTCCGCATGCAAAAACAGCAAAAACAAAGTCAAGGCAGTGTAAACTGGCATAAGTAACGTAGCAGAACTTCTTAAGACTGTGGACAGAAGGCGCTGTCAAGTTTCTTGTCTCACATCTCTTTGATTTTGCGAATCAACTGCTTGTGCAGGCGACGAGTACCAAACCCAAATTCCAGATTTGGCGCTCTGCCGATGTCCTGCGGGCGGAGACTTGACGAGAATGGTTTACAGTAAGTTTAAGACTGATATGGCCGGTGCAAACAATTGGGTGTGTATCAGAATACGAAGACCCCCAGCCATGGGTTTTATTTATATTTGTGTGTGTTTTTTCCAATGGTTGCAGAGCCAAATGGTCTTCCAAGAATTCATGTTCAGCATGTCAGTGAGAGTGTAGGTCATCCTTTTTGACTTTTGAGATGGGGAACCAAGTACTCGTTTGGCTCTTGAAGTGGTAGAGCCCTCTAAAGTAAGGCTGTTTTTCATGCCCTGTTTGTGGTCCGCGGTGACCTCTTTATGGAATACTATGGTCATATCATAGGCCATGCCATTTCTTCATGCTGGTGGTGCTGGAGGCGTTCTGCTAGTTGGTGCCAATTGGAAGGTTGGTGGTCAAAAGCCTGACATGGGGTCCATGGTGCTAGAGTCTCCTTTATGACATTGCTGGATGCCTGCTGTGAAACAGCGTTGCCTTTTGTTTACTGGAAGTAGATGATGTAGAATGACACATTGGTGAAGCCGAAACCACATGAACCCACAGCACATTTGTTCGATGTGACTTTTGGGGGCACTGATTTGCAGCAAATTTCCAAGAGATCCAGATGATTGGGGAAGCTCGACCGTGAATGACCAATGAATGACAGTGAAACCGAGTCACACCGCCTGACAACTTTAATCCGCATGATTGTTAAGTTTCCCTAAAAATCTAGCTTGGAGGCCATCGCTATTGGGTTGGAGGCCATCGCTATTAGGTCGGAAGCCATTGCTGTTAGCTTGGAAGCCATTGCTATTAGGTCCTAGAAATCTAGGAACCAAATGAATGGTGCGAGCGCTTCTTCAAGGAAGTTTCCTCCGCAGTGCGAGCTATCCTGGGTCTAGTAAGAAGGAGCTTACTCGCCTCTTTAATTAAGTAGGGGCCTACTTAGTTAAGTAAGGCGGCAGGGCCACGGGCAAAAAAGATAAATACGTCACGCACCGAATGACCGGCCCTCACTTGCCTGCCGTCCATCATTAAGGATCCGGACCCTTGGCTGAGAAGCCATCGGAGGAGGGAGTTGTCAACCTTGCCTTGGAGTTGTCAACCTTGTCCCTTTCATAGGACAACTCCCATGACGCCTGTGTAGAGATGAGATGGGGGTTCAAAATCTCCATCGTGGGTGGGTGGTGGTATGTGTACATGTGTATATGTGTATACTGTATATTACATTATATTACATACATACATATTATGTATAATGTCAATTTTGTGTTCATGTGTCATCCCTATTAGGAATAGCTATTCCATGTTATCCCAATGCGCCATCATCCTGGCCACCTTGCTGGTGTGTCTCAAGGTTTCATGTCCTGCTGTTTGTATTCTTTGTGTTTTGACGGGGATGAGACGCAACACTACTGACACATGCCTTTTGCTGTTGAACAGTTTCTCCAAGTGCTTGAGTTCAGTTTCTTTCCGATCAACATCTTATACTGGTGCCAGCAAATTCCTGGTATGTGGTTTGGGACATTCATCCTTCCTGTGAAATGTTTGCATGGAAAGTGTTTTAGCGACAACTTGGTGATGAGGGACAGAGCACCGTTTTTTGATCATGTTAGTTTTCTTCATGTGTCAATGGACGCACGACAATACAAAGCATCATGGAACCTAGTTTCACGACCCCGAGATGCAACCTAGTTTAGAAGCTACTAGTAGCTCCTGGCATTTCTACTAGGAGCGAGGACGCTACTATTTCCTCTCAAATGTTTGTGTCTCAGCTCTCCGAGCGATATTCCCCTGCGGGCCACGCTGCGAATCATTTCCCATGCTCGTTGGTCCATCCAGAGCCAAGACCAAACGAAACCGAGAAGAGCCACAGAAGACCCGTGGATCGGTCGACCAACCGTTTCCAAGCACAGAATTGGCTCGGTTGACCACGTTTGGAGGCTTCGGCTCGTTGGCTGGGCTGGTCTGGTCTGACTGACTGGGTGTCAAGTTGATCGGTCAATATCAATCACAGATCTTGCCACGTGTCATGTGATGATGGAGAGAATGACCACAAAGTTGATCATCTATCACATTGTTAGAACCATTAGAATTACGATATCCTTTTCCATTATGTAACAATTGACCATGTGTCCCGAAGAATTAAGTTGTCACACTGTCACACAGCAACTTTTCTGCATGTGCTGCGTAGGTTGCAGAACTGGGTTTGCACTGAGGTACACTTACCCCTACTTCAGCTGGACTTGTACTTGCACATCGACCTGCGAAACCGTCGTGCAGATTTTTGCATCTTTGTCTGCGGGTAGTGGAAGTATGTGGAAGTCAAAGCCTGAAGCTTTCTAGTTGGTCCTGACTCACAAGGATTGAGAGCCAAGGTTGGGCCTTTTTGTCAGGCTTTATTTATTATTGTTATATTTTTTAGGGGAGGTGGTAGGCCGCTAGTAAAGGTAGGCAGCTAGAGGTAGGTAGCGAGATGTAGCGAGTAGAAGAGGTAGCAGCTAGTAGCTAACAAGTAGCTACTACCTTGGACGCAGGATGGCTCACGCTATTCATTTGGTTCCTAGATTTTTAGGGAGACATTCTGTTAGCGCACGGCAAGGGTACAAGCCACGAGGATTCAGCATGCTTGGCTAGGTTCAAAACAAAATTAGGGGACGGCGGATGGCCAAGTCGTCAAGTCACATCTTAGGCACTCCGAACTTTGCAGCAATCATGTTCGACACAAACTGGCACTGGTCTATGCAACTTGGACTGTTTTCATGTTAGTGTGTATGAAGACAGGTGAAGTCCACGCAGGTTGGGCCAGACTGTGAGGTTCGTTGCAGCTCAGAGGTTGCAACACGTTGCAGGGGTGATGTGTCTAAAAGTTTTAGCACCAACGAGGATCTTTTCCGCAGCCGAGCGAAGCCAGGTCGAATTGGTTGCCCTATGATTTGCGACGCAGTGGTTGCTTCGGGGCACGGATACATCCACCTGGAGTGAGCCTGCAGCTCACAGTCTGCCGCTGGGCATGGGTGCTTGATTGATGTCCAACAAAAGTTATGTTGCAACATTTGGGGAGGGCTTCAACAAATATACATGTGATGGAGGAATTTGTGTAGTTGTTTTCGTATATGTTCATTAGAGATCTAATAGGAAAACATAAAGCTTGCTCCTCTCAAACTTGATTGAGATCTTTGGGGTTTGTAAGGGGACGTCGAGCAACTTGTGATGAGTTCTGTGCGACAATTTAATTTGAGCTCCATTTGCTCCAATTTGCTTGCGCAATGTGAAGACCGTTGTGCAAGCTGTACAGTTGTCACGCCGTCATTTTATGTCAATGTGTGGGATTCTTAAGTAGGCACATGTGGGTAGTTTCCACTGTTCTCTGCTTGTATTTGACTTGGTGACTATTGCTCAAGCACAGGCCGTCACAGCGCGCTTGGTGGGCTGCAGAAGGAGCACAAGACCACAGAGTTATCTTTGACAGGCACCCCGGAGAATTGGCGGATTTGCGTGTCCAGCAAGCAAACGAGTTTGTGTTTTGGTGGTGCAACATCACTCACCGAAAGCTTGCAGCTGTGGGAAGAATGCTGCTGGTCTTACAGAGAGCGAGGGCAGAGGTAGACAAAAGGGCTCTTTGTCTTTCTTTCGCAGTTCTTGTTTGTTCCCTTTATACTCTTGACCTATGACCCTTCTAGAATGTTGTAAACCACATTTTGCTTAGTACGTGCTTGGAAACTGTGGAAAGCAGGTAATGTTTCAGGAATACATTTCACTAGCCAAAATGCTATGCCATTTTGGCTCAAGCTTGTGAAACTCAAAGTGAAAAACGCACTCCCGTGACCTCCCCTTTCATTTCTGTGCAGCCATGTCCGGCCCTGGATCTGCCCTCTTTGACTGGGACCTTCTGGATGAGGCCCCTTCGGTGACTTCTTTCACCCTTGATCAGGCGGAGGAGCGTGAGAAAGAGATTGGACGCTTTGAGGAGACGATTTTGGAAGGGGCAGGCCGTGCTGCTGATGCGTTGGCAGGCTCCTCCTCTGATCCTACGGCCCCGGGCGCCCAGGACGACTCGCACTACGTCAAGTGTGAGCTGCTCACGCAAGATGCCCTGCCATGGCCAAGATGCAGGAGATGGATGCTGCCATGGCTCAGCTCCACGTTTCCCCTCCTCTGGGGGTGCAGACGCCACTGGCTCTGAAACGCCCCTGGGAGTGGCTGCGGCTGCTGTGACCTCGAGCTCTTCTACACCTGCGGCGGCTGCGGCTGATGTGACCTCAAGACCCCTCCATCTTTGGGTGCTCCTGCAGAACCTCCTCAGGAGAAAGACAGTCTGCTCA